GAGAGAGAGAGAGAGAGCTTTATACCATGCATCATCAGCAACAAGTTGGCGAACAGGCTTTTCTCCGCCTGGTGTCTTGACTGTTGCATGGTTAACATCAGGGTACTGAGTTGAAGAGTGGTTTCCCCAAATGATCACATTCTTAACATCAGAGACTTGGACATCTAGTCTCTCTGAGATCTGGCCAAGAGCCCTGTTATGGTCCAGTCGTGTGAGACAAGTGATGTTCTTCTCAGGAATCGATGGTGCAAACTCTTTCAAAATGAGTGCATTCGTGTTTGCCGGGTTAGCCACAACCAACACCTGCAAGTGCATCAAAAAATACGTAACTGTTAAGAGGAAGAAAGGGTGTGGCATAAATATTTCGAGATTGAAAGAACAAAGCTTTTATTGGTTTTGGAAAATGATGACTAAAATCCCCTAATTTAACATATATGACTATCAAACTCTTATGCCATAGAAAGAAACGGCAACATGAGCAACAGACTCTTTTTAAAGCAAGGTTTATAAAGAGTAGGTGCATAGGTCGACTTGGAAGTTCGAATCTCCCGATAGATGCATGTGTTTTTCTACACCTTAGGCTTTCGCTTAGTGGTAAACAATATCGGTTTGGGTGGTGAAGGTCAATGGTTCGAACCCTTGAAACTTGTCCCAAGAAGCGGACCTACCGCTTTTCTTTAAACCTAGACCTAAGGTAATATTATGCATCATTGGCATGCCTGACAGGGTAATAACAGATGGAATCTAATAAAAAGAAATCAGTTCTCTTATCATGAAATCACAAAATAAATGTTATTCTTTAATTGGAAAATCACTAGAAAAAGTTAATTATCCTGAACCCTTTTAAAACATGAGCACTAATTGACCTTGCAGTTTGCAGCTGCATGCTTTTCAAGAGCAGAGGCCTGGGACTTGTAGATGGAGACGTTCTTAGACATCACATCTTTCCTCTCCATTCCCTCTTTCCTTGGGAACCCACCAACCATGACTGCCACATTCACTCCAGTGCAAGCCTCAACAACATCGGTGGTAGCAATAACACCTGAAGAAAAAAAAAACCAATGATAAAATACGTTATTAAAACATTGCATTGTACTTGGAACCATAACCGCTCAAGCTATTGCAACTATGTAACTTAATACTAACTTGAGCATTTTATTACCATTAGGTTTGTGAAATGGCAAAAATGGCATCCAGTTTTTTTTTCCTTTTCGTCTGCATAATTCAATAACAGAGATGGATATGCTAATTTTTTAAGCAAATTAATGCACAATAGAAAAACCAAAATTTGTCTAGAACTACTTTTTTAATTGGTGAACAACAAATCCAAGTCATGCAGGGGAAGTGAGAAAATGGTGATATCACAAACAATAAGCCACAGAGAATGGGTCATTTTATGATTTCTCAATTGTATTACAAAAAATAAGAAGTTAATCCCTTAAAATCTGTCAATCTCAGTTATTAAGTCATTCAGTAGTATTTCTATGAACAAAATTTAAAAGAAGAAAAGGACATAAGACCTTTTAGAAGAGGAAATGCAGCATCTACTAGTTCCATTTTGACTCCATTCAAAGACTCGGCAGCAGGTGGAATATCAAGCAAGTGCAAAATAACGGGCTGATCAGGACCAAGCATCACTCCTCTGGCGATCATAGGAACAAGAGCATATCCAATTTGTCCTGTAAACCAAACAAATTTCTTCTCAAAATGTGCATAAAATTAAAGGAAATATGCAAATAATTTCACAAATATTCATTAAATTGAAAAACCGCAGTTTTGTTTTCATTTGGAGGGAGGGAGCATGTGGAAGAAGGCCAGGGTTTGGGAGCTGGTAGCGCAAGGAGGATGGGAAGAGAGGGAGGCATCCAAATATTGCAGGCAGAAAGAGAATGAGTAGAGAGAGAGCCAATCACAAAAAAAAAAAATACAGGAGCAAGAGGATGGAAAAATTGAGCCACTTTCAACATGGGACTCCAGTAGCCGTGCTGTTTGTGCAAAAAAAAAGAAAGAAGAAAAACCCAAGAAAATAAAGGTATTCAACAAGTATTTGCATTATAGATTTAGGACATGAAAGAGAAAAACAATGAATTCTATCAAACAAGAAGTTTGAGATGCAGTTGCGATCGCTACATCCAGGTTCTGATCCTCCAGAATCACAATTTAATGCTTGAAAAATTGGACTAGAAGTTCAGATTCTTCAGAAATAACGATTTATATGAATGCTTGAAAAAATGGCCTAGAAGTTCAGATTCTTCAGAAATAACGACTCATTAAAGCATTAAAATACATGTAAAACCAAAATAAAAGCTGATCCATACTAAATGGAGGAAATATTCATCACAAATCCAGGTGATCTCCACATTTGTAAAAGATATTAAAAACAACAAAAAACTGATCCATTACACATGAATTATATAAAGCTCAAGAATTAAACCAGTCTCCAGGAACTTGCCTTGGGCCATGTACTTGGCTGCGGCCCCAGGCGAGTTACTCACGTGAGGACTCAGGCCCGAGTCCTGTACAAGGCCAAATGCCCTAGAATAATTTGAAAAAGATAAAAAATATGAAAATAGAATAAAGGTAGTAAAACTAAAATAAAACCTAAAGAAACCTTAAAAAGCCCAAATAAGATTAAAAAAGTAGAGAAAAAATGGATTAAAAAATGATTTCTAGTTGGGAGCATTTCAAAAAATATAAAAAAAAAGGAATATATACAATGGGCATTATGGCAAAAACAATCACTAATCTCTGCCAAAAAGTCCAAATCACATACAAACTTTTTTTAGAACATTCCCACTTTTTTACAATTTTTTCGTTTTTTTTTTATTTTAAATTATGTACTCCAAGTCATAAATACATGTTGGGGCAACTTGCCTCTGCCTCGGCCTAGTCCATGCTAAGTCCCGTAACACAGAATATTAGCTCTTCAGAAGAGCACCACAAATAGATCAACCAGAACTAAGAATGAATTAAATGCCCAAAAAAGCATTCAAGTGTAGCAATAGAAAATCAAACCCCTAATTATACCAGATCCAACACAGAATATAAATAAATGCTTTAATAGATTCCAAAATTTACATATCCTAGATTACAATACAATCAAAAGTAGCTGCAAGATGCCTTATGAGCTGAATCCATCAGATCGTCTAAAAAATCTCCATAAAATAGCCAAATCACAGAAGAATCCATGCATGTCAAAGGAATCCAACAAACATAAAGTACAAGTGAAAATCACTAATCCACCTAAAAAATTTACAAAAACAGCACTAAATAAAAGACCTGGAATAAGCTAAAAAGTGCTCCTATAGTATCTAGACCTGATTCCAACAGATCCCTCAAAGAACAACAAAAGAGTACATAAAAACCAGATATCCAAAAAAAGAAAAAAGTACATAAAAATGTTTAATTTTAGATATAAAAACCCAAGATCATGATCAGTACAGTTAGATAGCTACCTTTTTATAAGATCGTCAAAAAGTAACCAAAATAGCAGTAAAAATCACCGAAAAATGCATGCATATGATACTGATCCATTAAAGCATGAAATTGAAAGGAAAATAAGAACCTGCTGCTCCAGTAACAAGGACTCTAACTGGTTCTTTCGCCATTGCTGAAGAGCTCGAAAACAAGATTGATAATCCCAAGAAAAGTGGAGCTTGGAGAAATGGGGAGCAGGACTCACTGTAAGAAAATGGAGCGGTTTATAAGGGAAAGTGGAAGTTTACGTATCCTCGTGTATTGTAACAATACCAATATAGTCCCCGTACAGTAAGGCATCGACTGCGCCTGGCGTGAACGCGCGGGAGGAAACTGTATAACAGACGGGATATTTTTCGACCCTCAACCAAACAGCTAAGCATTAGGGTACGTGGACTGGAGTTAGAGTGATCACGGCCATGATTCCAGTATGATTAAATCCGAACCTTTGATATCAATGAGTCAATCCATGTCTCTTTAGTGGTCCTGGGATGTCCATATCGGATGCCCTCTTGGTGCAAGTAGATTACACAAGAAAGATGGAGGAAGATAGTTTTTATTATTTTCTCTTGAACCCTTTTTTTAAAAGTTATTATTATTATTATTATTATTATTATTATTATTATTATTATTATTATTATTATTATTATTATTAGTAGTAGTAGTAGTTGACAACACATTTTTATTATTTTCTTTTGTTTTTATGTAAATAATTAGAAAAAATAAACAATGAGACCATTTATCTTTGGTATAAGGTGGTTCTAATAGATCTTCACCATTGGATGTGAAATTAGATGGCTACATTTTTTCCGTCGAACAAGCTCAAACTTCAAAAATAATTTTTCGAACTTTATAATACACTTAAGCTATCATATTTCACATCAAATGGTTGTAAGTAATTGTGACCTCCTTGTATCAAAAGTAAACCATCTTATTATATATATTCCCAAAAAACTATACAATAAACTTTGGAAAATTGTCAAACATTTGAAAATACAATAACATAAAAAAACTTAATAATCTAACATGATGTGTATTTTCTTGTAGAATGTTTAGCAATATGTGTAAATACTATATATTTGTAAACTAAAACGTTGAGTTTTTTTTTAGAAAAAGGGCATTTTGGATCGAGAATCGCTGCAGATTGAGAATAGGAACCCATCAACCTGGTTCCAACAAATTGATGTGATCCAAATGCAGTTCCCTAGTCCCCTAGTTTTGATAAGGAACTCGGCAAGTCTGTAAGGGAACTAGGGATCCAGACTTGCTGGATCGCTTTGTTCCCTCTCTCATATTTTTTATTACTTATTATTCTTTATTTTTAAAAAATTAATTTTTTTGCACTAGAAAATTGATTCGTTTCGCCAATCGAAATAATCAATTTACTAGTCTCGAACAAATTTTTGGAAGGTCAATTTGCCCCCTGTACAGTTTTTTAAAGGAAAATTATTTCACGCGGGTTGGACCGCATTTCTACATATGCGGTCCAGAGAGTATTAAGCATCCATCTTAAAGATGAATGCAAGCAGATTGTTCCATCTAAAAACAATGGAAACTAACCGTCCAAAATTTTTCTTACTAGAATTATTACTTCTAGTTTTTTAAAGTTCTTTACTTTTTCATATGCACGATCTCCATGTTAGAGATTACATGCCTTTAAAAATAAAGTCTTAAAATGCATCTCAAAAATATATTTATTAAGATGCCCGCATTTCTACATAGGTGGGCTTGGCTGCATAAAAACGGGGTCTTTTTTGAAATGCTCATCTTTAAGAAAGGGAATCTGACTTCTCTTTCTCTCTCTTAAAACAAAAATAAATAAGATCTTTTCTATGTTTCATACATTATTACTTAGGTATGTAATGGCCAAAATATAGTAGGGGTGGCAACGAGTCAAGTAGGATCCAAGTATTTGGACCTAAACCTAGGTTTATAAATTTAAAAAAATTTTAAAAAATATTTTTTATATTGTAAAATACATATATTTTATCTGGGTTATGTTAGATTAACCCAATAAGGTCCAAGCCAAACCCTGACCCAGTGGGTCGACCCAACCTAATTGTCACCCCTAGTTGTTCAATTCTTCCAAAAATTGTACATGAGTCACTTCCAAAACCTCTCTCTTTCTTTAGCATCCTTTTGGAATTTTATCAAATGACAAAAGGACTTTGAAAAAAGTGGAATTTTATGTCAACCGTCCATCCAAAGGGAAAATCTTCATCATCCATAGAGCTCATCGGACAGTCTAGATCTAATTTTCGATGAGTAAGAGCATGGAACTTCATGCGCTTCCTGCCTTTCGTCAGGTTCCCCGTCTTTCACATCACGGGATGGGTGCGAGTGGACACGTGGCACGATATGAACCGTTACGTTTTGGATGGCGCCTGACGTGTAAATTGGTATGCTGACTCAAAGGTTCGTTTCACGCGCCGCTCTAAATTTTGGCGAAATTTCGGTACTGCTAGGCAGTAAAGTTCTATTTTTTTCGCGAGAAATGGATGGTCTTCGTAATAATGTTAACAACATAGGCGATGGGTTCGTTGAATGGTATGGAATAAGAAAATTTATAATATTATTATTTTAAAAATATAAAATATATTACAAGGAGCTGTTCAACTTTATTGAGTCGATTGAACTAGCCAAAATCCAATAATTTAACAGTCCAAAATTGATAAATAATTGATTTTGATTAGTTTTTTACCAAAATCAATTTTTATTTTTGATTAGACTAGTTGAAGTACATGTCGACTGTCCGATTGATCGGGCTATTGCTTGATCTTGATGGCTATGATTGATATTATGTACTCAAAGAGTTGTTTCCTCTTTGGTAAAAGAAGGTAGCCATCACTCCGGATTGTTTGATTTTACTTCTCACGGTGTCGGATAATTAGAGTGATATTATATACTCAAGGAGTTATTTCCTCTTTGGTAAAAGAAGGTAGCCATCACTCCGGATTGTTTGATTTTACTTCTATGGGTGTCGGGTAATTAGAGTGGTCAGAAGTTCATTTTCCTTTTTTAGAACGTTGAGTAGTCAATAGTTCATTCCCAATTGTTTCACTTAATGGTTTCGGTTAATTGTGATATTTTTGTATCAAAAGTCGATTGTCACAGTTTTCCATTCAATTTTTGCTATGAAAATTGGCCAAATCATTCTTGAATGTACCTTTTTTTACTTTGTGAAAAAATCTACAACCAAATACAATAAGGAAAAGTATATGATAAGACCATTTATCTTTCATACAAGGTGGTCACAATTAATCTTGGCTTTTAGATTTGAAATTAGATGGCTGCATTTCTTTCATTGACCAAGCTCAAAGTTCAAAAGACTTTTTTTTGAACTTTGTGACACACACCAAGCTGTCAGATTTTACATCATATGATTGTATGTAATTCTGACCTTCTTGTATTAAAAGTAAATGGCCTCATTGTTTACAATTCTATACAATAAATGCAAAATTGAGAGTATGGATCCGACTGCCTTACTTAAGACCAATAGGCAACACTAATGAAACTGACGCTATATCTCTTTTGCAGAAGCAAAATTTATGGTATACTTCTGAGAGTAATTTCTGATTGAAGGGGACTCATCGAATGTAATACAATAGTCTACTGGAAAAGAGAGGGGCTCGTAGTGACTCAAATAGGTCTTAAGAGAGATTTGGAATAGAATCTCAGCAATGTTGTCAGATTCGCTTTTGGAGTCTTCTTAAGGTTGGTGAGAAAAATGAAGTAATTCAGTGCTTCAGCCAATTTGGGGGAAGATTATTTATTTATTTTCAATTTCATATAAATAAATTAGATATTTATATAAAAATATATTAAAATAATGCAAAAAATTAAAAATAAAAATTTCAATTTCTTTTAGATAGATATTTATTTTTTTCGGCTGAATCGGCCTGAAGTAGACTCAATTCTTACCGAAACAACCAGAAACAGACCTAATATGATTGAAACGGCAGCACCAAGTTTCGTTTCGCTTCGGTCTAGGTCTAAAATCTGAAGCTTCGACCACTTTGGCCTAAGCGGAGAGAATTTAACAACACTGAATCACGATGAGATGATCCTTTCCCTCATAGAATCCAACTAAATATAGTAAAATCGATGTTTGGCGAAAGGGTTACAATGCTTTAGAACTGTTCTACAAGACAGTTCAACCCCTCTTGTTAGGCATGCTCTTTGTTCATCAATGGAAAAGTCACTAGTGATTCAGATAATGAGTGTAGGGTTGGGGCATTTTAATCATTATTTTCATTATGTTTATGGAGACTGAAGTTATGATTTGGGCCACCTTTTTATCATGGTTAGATCAATGGGGAGGGACAATTAAAACTGGATTGAGAAATTAACCCTTGAATGGGAGATTGAAAACCAATGAGAGGAATCTGTGTAATGTTTGGAACAATTACAACTGGAGTTGAGGGTCCATTAGGTTTCAATAAGTGACTGCTGATTTCATACAAAAGGTCATTTTCTCCAAGCTGCCTATTGTAACATGCGATTGCTGGTCTATATCGTCCCTCATAACAATGTCTAACGAAACTACTATTCGCACTTCAAGCACAATCAACGGTACACCTCTATGGCTAAACTCGAATCGGAACGGTTAACTAGACAAGGGCCTAGAAGCGGTTCAACAGCCTAATCGATAAACCGTAATCGATAAACCGGAAGGTTCAATTGTTTTAACCGGGCAAGTCCTTGGCGGTCAAAAAAGTGTTCAAAGATAAAAAAAAATACAAAACAAATCTAATAAAATATAAAAAATATATTTAAAGAATGATCAAACAAAAAACATTCAAATGAAGTTGAAAATTAATGAAAAAATGGATTTTAAAGAATCAGTTTGTGCTAAGGGGTATTTTTTATTTTTTTAAAAAATTATGTTAAAATAAGTATTAATGGAAAAACAATTTCCAATCTTTTCCATAATGATGAGAAACATTAACAAATACATTACAAATAAAATTCTTTATTTTTGAGATTATATATATACGTATATATTTAAAATTTTAAATACCCTGATCGGTCACCAAAACCAGCCAATGGCCGGTTCCGATCTAACCGGGTAGTTACCGGTTTGACCGTCCGATTTCAATGACCTCTATACACCCAATTTGATATTTGTGCTGGAGTGATTATAATTTTTTTGTACGAAGGGCAATATTAAAAAAACTCTTTATTTTACTTATTTGAGAAACTATCAAGGAGTCAAAACCTTTTACAA